CCCAGGCTTCATTTGCAACTCCGTATGACTACATTACCCCCTCTAGTTCGAACTAGGGGGGTAGTGTAGACATACCCTTATAGAGAAGACTGCAAGGGGACGTGACAGCAGTTTTCAAGTTCTACAAGGGGACGTGACAGCAGTTTTCAAGTTCCTCAAAGGGTGTTACAAGGAGGAGGGAGAAAAATTGGTCTCCGTGGCCTCTGATGATAGAACAAGAAACATCAGGTTTAAGTTGCAGAAATGGAGCTTTAGGCTGGATATTAGGAAAAACTTCTTGTCAGGGTTGTTTATCACTGGAAAAAAATGGCTGGGGAGGCTGTGGAATTTCCTCGCTGGAGATATTTAAGAGCAAGCTGGATAGACACCTGTCAGGAATGATCTGGATGCTGCTTGGCCCTGCTGTGAGGGCCGTGGATGGGATGATTGCTGATCTCTTGTGGTCCCTTCCAGTTCTAGGATTCTGTGATTCTGTCAACCAACTGGTTGTACAGTTTTGCTGCCTGACAGCAGTTCCTCCTGGCAGGAATTGTATGGAAGTCTATTACCCGGTGGGAATTTGTATTAAGTCCAGTCCAAAAGGGACCCTACCCTAGCAGTGCCCAGTCTGATGCATGGAGTGGACTCTAGCAGTCTGGCTACTGTGGGCAGGGGGCAGTGGCAGTCTGTACCCAGACTGTTACCTGCACAAATTTCTCTACCCCTTCCACACTGTAGGGACACACACCTTGACCCAGTTCCTAGGGCTCAAGGTGCAACCCTGTGAATTTATACACCCACCCTTACCCAATTCCTAGGGCTCAGGATGTAACAACCCGCAGGGTGGCAGGATCTTTAGCCAATGAATGAGCCTCACACAATAATGCCCTTATTCTCTATTTATTGACAATTCCCAAACAAGCAGAATGCACATGCTACGCACAGGGTCATGCTCACCAATCCTGATAAAGGCAGGCAGACTTCCCCTGTTGGCCAGGCAATACCAGTCTCTCTCTGGTCCATTACAAAGATAGCTTCCCCGATTATCATCTCTAATATCATTAGCCCACAGATATTTACCTCCGCCCCCATCCCTCTTCTGTTCTGAAATGTGATTTGTCCTTTTCATATGTGTTCTTTTTTTTTTTAATTGTATCCTTTGGTATATATGGTTGTGACTATTTTTTTCCACTATTTGATCTGAGGAAGTGGGTCTGGCCCAAGAAAGCTCATCATCTAATAAACCAACTTGTTAGTCTTTAAAGTGCTACATAGTCCTATATTTTGCTTCAGCTCCACCAGACTAACACAGCTACATTTCTATTACTATTCTGGTCTTAGGCTGTGTCTCGGAGGTGAGTTCTTCTTTTCCAGGCCTTCCCCCCTCCTCCTGGGCCTCTTCCAGCCTTTTCTTCCTTCTGATGATCTTCCTCCTTCTTCTCCTTCTTGAACCCCAGTTTATCCAATGAAACCTGAGTCTTGCTTAGCTAGACCGTAACCAATTATTTTAGTGAAATGTTACTAACCAATCATAACAAAATTATCCAACCAATCACACCCCACCACCTTAATTGATTACACCTAGCAACATTAATTATCCAGCAGACAGACACAGTTACAAACCAGACAGAGATCACACCGTCAAACAATAGGAAAGTGTAGTGACAATGATCATAGGACGAGGTTTCCACAATGTTCTCCATGGATAAGCAGTTTCTCGCCAGACAGAAGGGGGTGACTTCAGTTTTCTTTACCCAGCTTGGGATCTGTTTCTTTATCTGGTGACAGTGGGGAGCGATCAGGGCAAAGTCCCCTCCTCACAGTCTGGGGTGACATTTGGTAATGCAATTTAAATGGAATTGTGAGTATGTGACTCCAGGCCTTACAGTGATACCTGCTACTCTTCGGTTTGGCTGCAGAAGGCGGTTTTGGTTCAGCCCTGGCACAGGCCTTCCAACACGGCTACAGAAAAGCCATAGTGTTACACGACCCTAATGTGGCAAGAAGCATGCACCAGCTCCGGCTGCAGGAGACCCCTTTGAGGAGCATGGCCTACAGGGCTGTGGCACAGACAGAGAGAAGAGACCCCTTATGTCACACGCAAAGAGCAGGGAGTGGGGGCAGGGGATCTCAGAGCATGTGGGGTGCTCCGGGGGAGGGAAAGAAGACGAGCTGTCCCACCAGCAAGCGCATCTCCTGGCTGGGCCCTTAGGCACCTCTGGGGTGGGGAGCGCTTGAGCGGGCTGGAATGGGGCAGCTGAAAAGGCAGCACAGGGAGGGGCAAGAGGCTGCCATGCAGGAGGGCTGCTTTCTGCTCCTGTGTGGTCGCAGTACAAGTCTGAACGACACCCACTGGGAGCCCATTGGAGCTGGGGGGTGAAAGTTCCTGAGGTCTGCTCATGAGTAGAGGGGGAAGAGCAGGGAGCTCCGAGGTCAATGGGGGGAGAGGAGCAACTGAGGAGACAGGGGAAGATGTGGTGCAGGGCATCAGGGGAAAAGGTGAGGCAGGATCTCTTACGCAGACGTGTGGAGATGAAAAGGCCCCTGCCTGTGTGATGCTGGGCTCCGACCCATGATGTTCAGAATTACAAGTCTCCATCAGGTCCCTCTGACTCACAGACTCAGTTCAAAGGGCTCCCACCGACACCCTCCATAGATCATTTGTCACCTTCCCACTTACTCTGGGGAGCTGCACGTGTTACAGGTAAACTCCACCCACCTCGGGATGCCGGGGGAAGGGACCAGGCAGGTTTCATGGCAGAGGGAGGGGCAGGGACCAAAGGGCCCTGAGAACGTGGGGGGTTTGCATCACTGGGAGCGGCCCACTGGGCCAGAGCGACATTGCAGGGACCAACGCACACGTGGAGATCAGAGAGTTCATGCTCCTCCCCCAGCCCCTGCTCTCTGCCAACAAACTCTCTAGAAATACCGGGATCCCCAGCCCAGCACCTCACCGGCCTCCAGCCTCCCTCTCTGCTCCTCTGCTCTGCAGCCCTGCTGAGACCCCAGCCCCCTCCAGCCATGAGGATCCTCCACCTGGTGTTTGCTGTTCTCCTGCTGGTCTCCTTGGCTGCTCCAGGTGAGCGGTCGCTCTGGGAGGGGCGGGAATAGGGACGGAGGAGGGGGATCGGCGGGTAACAGGAAGGACTCAGGCTCCCCGGCAGTGTCTGGTGGG